AAAAATCTTAATTTTCTTCAGTATCATCCCTGTGAACTTAGATTAGTCTTGTCAGCCAAACCAAATCCAATCAAAACATTAATATTTGGGAGTTTTGAATTTTTTTTTTAATTTAAACTCACGTTATCCATGCCTTCTTGTTCTGTATGTAATGTGCAATTATAAAAAGTTTTAAAATAGTTGCATTAGTTTTTATTTATCTTTGTTAAATTTTATGTTTACTCTTTCATGCTAGCCTGTTGAGATTATTTTAAATTTTGAATATTTTAGTCTTTATGTGTACACATTTTGGAGGTACAGTGTTCCATATACATGTATAAAATATGTAATGATCAAATCAGAATAATTAGCATATCTGTCACCTCAAACATTCATCATTTACTTTGTGTTTAAAACATTCAAAAAATTTTGATTCTTTTATTTGATACATTGGGTATCTCTTTAGCCTTTGGTCTGAAATTCAATAAGCACATATTTTCATTCTTCAAGTCACAAAATTATAGAATTTTCTATTTAAAAAGTACCTAAAATATCATAAAATTCAGCTCCCTTATTTTAGGATAAGGAAACTTGGGTTCAGACAGGATAAATAACTCTCTCATGGTTACACAACTCATTAACAGAAGATTATGACCATCCTAAAAGATGGATTGGTAGAAAGTCTGTGAACCAAGTCTAAGACACATATAATCACCAGAAACACTTGGTGGGTGCTAGAATATTGAATCCACTTGGGGTACAATTGTTCAATTGTATCTGAGCATGCATTATTCTCCATTATTTCCACAGGTGGTGACATATATTAACAAAATCTATCAGACCTTTCACACTGTCAGACGAGAAGTAAAGTTGCCTTGGAATAACTTGTTTTTAGTGAACCATACTGTCTACTTGTAATAAAACATATTCATTTCTAAGTAATTAGTAAAAATATTTATATACATCAGTGTATTTTCTAATTTGTGGTTTCCATAGTCCTTTTGCAAAATCAAAACATTTTCCCATTTCCATTCTTTCAGTATTTCTATTTTATTCAATAAATCAAAATAAGTGATATATTGAAACACAAACCCATCCATCTGAAATTTTTAAATGTACCTCAGTAAAAAATGAGCCAACAAGGCTATTTAGAAAATGAAAGAAGACTTTTGTGCTATTGCGACAACCAAACAAATGTGTAGCTTCAAATGCTTTTATTGGAAAAGAGGGAAAATAAAGGATGGATAAGCGAATGAATGAATCAAATATTCAATCTTGGAAAACACAAGGAAAAGAAATAAAAATATATATAAATTAGAATATAGAGAAAAATCATTTGAAATAAATTGAAGTGATTTTTTGACAAAAGTATAGCTAAGCATCTTTTTCATTGCAGCAAAGTGAAATAAACAAATATTAGATATTTAATATCATATTTTTTAAAATTATAGAGGAAGAAAGGAGATAAACTAGGATGTTGTAAATATTTATATCCAGGAGAGAAAAGGTTGTGGAGAATTTTTAAAGAGGTGATAATGTGATAATGGTTTTTAAAAGCTTCAGAAAGTTTATAGAAATGCTATAAAAACAGGCCATGACTGGCAACTAAGAAGGCACTGGAGGCCCGAGAAGCTCTTTCAGTAGAGTGTGGATCAGAAAGCCAGGCTGCAAGACATCAAGTGGGTAATAAGCATCTGTGAAGAGACAGCTAAAATAACCTATTGTCAGAGTTTTAGATACTGAACATACGGAGCTCAACAATGAATTCAGGTCAGAATTGGGTTCTGGTACAGGTATTTTGAGGAGATTCATGGCTCCTCAGAAAATGCCCCTGTTGGTACTGACTTGACTTGTTAAATGAGGTTGTGTGAAAAGTAAGTCTTGGCACAATTTTAAAATAATCTCTCCTAAACAATACTTTTTTTAATAACAGTAAATAGACAATAGTAATCAAAGACTTCAATTACACAAAATTGGTTACTTATTAGATTTGATATTCAGTGTCTTAACTCCAAATTCCCCTTGCTGTTTATTTCAACGCCGTTAACACATTGCACTCCATCTTTAATCCAGTCCAATCCCTCCTGTCCATCAGATCTCTGACAACTGCAAATTTTCATTAATTTAGCACACATGACTTAATCATATATATCATAGCTATTAATAATTGTTGGAAGTTGTTTAATATTTTGCATGAAGAATGATGCTGTTCATATTGCAGATCTAAATTAGATAACTTTGACATAAAAACTGTTAGGCCTAGAAAAACAGACAAGCTATGGATAGATTGCTTTCTCTGTATGACTTAGAATTGCTTATATCCTGAAGATATGTAGTCACCTTCAATCGTTGTTTTGAAAAGAAATATTCTTCTAGAAGCTATGGGTAGTAGATTAGGAAGAGCATGGTTAAAAACAAAAAAAAAATGTTCAGAGAGGAAAACAGTGTTCATTCCCTTTTAAGAGCTATTCAGATGAAAAATTGCTCAGCATAAGCTTGATCTATATGTTTTTCATGGTTATTAGTAGTAATGAAGATGCATTAACCATATTCTCTTGATAATGCTCTAGCAGTATCTCAGTACTTTTATCAACATATAAATTTTACAACTGGCAATATGGGAATTTGACTAGTACATTTTTGTGTATAAAAAAGGGTAACAACATTATAATTTCTTAATATCTGGGAATTATGAATCCTGACTTGCAAACAAGCGAAACTAAAATGCAACAGAACTTCGGTACCATGATAACTTTTCTTTATACTGTCACTCACAGGAAATGGTAATGTATACAAGCTGCTGAGTGGAATATAATGCCAGAGGTGAATACCTAGTTAATCCAGAATGTATCAGTCTTTTCATTTCATTCATTCTTTTTTCTCAATAAACATACATTGAGTGCCGTCTCTGTTGATAACCTATAGTAAATGTAAAATTAGGAATGCTCTACTTCACTAGGAAGTACCTAAAAAATGAAAGTAAGTGGTGCATAATCACTTTATATCCTCATCTCCATTAGGAAATATCATTTTTAATAAATTTTGGAAGGACATTTAAATAGCTCACTCTTCAAAGATGAAACCTGATGCCAAAGAAACCATTTGAAATTTTTTTCATACTTCATTCTGTTATAATGAATAGATCTTTCTTTTATAAAGCTGAATTTCATATTTTAAATTTGATTTGTTCTACCTCCAAAGCAATGTAAGTCTCCGATACCTAGGCCATAACATTAGCTAGTACCATTAGAGAAAACTTTATGGAAGGAAGAAGTCTGGTGTTCTTTCCTTTTTATTATAGAACTATGGATCCATTCTGTTTTACAGCAACGTCTAGTAATGCCAAGGATATAGCTGTCATATAAAAAATAGAATTACCATGTAAGTGCTGCCAGCTAGATCTGGGAGAAGGAAATTATAGTAAAAATCAAGTTAATTAAAATCAAACAAGTAGATCTCTCAAAGTTGATTTTCAATTTTCCATTTTTATGAAAACAAAATGAGTTATTTCTGTTAATGATTTGGACAATAAAAACATAAACTTCAATATTGTCATGGAGTTGGGCTTCCTTTACAACTAAAATAATCTATAATCATAACTGGTCTTCAAGATAATAACTCTGAGACACTGCAAGATTCTGAGTCATTTGGGAATTGTTCATCTATCAGATGTTAACTTAGTGCCCTCTATTTGCCAGGCACAGTTATAATGCAGGTGCTAGGAAGGGACGAAATTTGAGAGAGAGAGCAGTGGTTAAGGGCGTTGATAGCTGCTGAGAGGTGGAGTCGAATAAGAACAGACCTTTGGATCTGCAATGTGAAGTAATTGGTGATCTTGAGGAATGGCTTTAGAGCAATAGCAAACAGGCACAACCGGAACTTAATGGACCAAAGACTGAGGAAGCAGAAGTGGCACCTTAATATACCTTGAAAACACATGTTATAAGCAGAGAAAGAAATGGAATGGTAACTTGAAAGGAACAAGGGTTCAGTAGAGAACTTAGCATACATATGCATATACTCACCATGGTTGCATGCTAATGGAGATGATACAGTAAAGGAGAAAATGATGATGCAGGAGAGGAAGATGCAGGAACAACAATCTCTGAAGGTCAGAGGAGAATGGGATTCAAAGCACAAATGGAGACGGTGGTCCTCTACTGTGGCAGGTGAAAAAACAGACTATGGGTGGATGCTGCTACCATTTAATATTATTAATAAAGTAGCTATGATGTACAAGGCAGTGGCAATATAGCAGTTGACAAAAATCCTTGCCCTCATGAAAGCTGTATTTGAATGGGGATTCAAGAAGGTGAACAAATGATGAGCAAATAAATAAATGAAATATATAGTATGTCAGATCATGAAAAATGCTATCAAGAAAAATAAACCAGGGAAGTGGAGAAGAAGGATATGGAGAGCTGGGGCAAAGAGTAAGGATAGATTCCAATTATAATGAACTGGGCACTTGACATAACTTTTAGGAATTTACTTCATGGCTGTCAGACACATTTATTTTCAGAATCATAATAAATTTGGCCTAGTACCCATGTGCCAGGGCTAAGAAATCTACTCTTAGCTTCTTTTCATAAGTGCCCCATCTGTGAGGACCCCGGGACTTCCCTACCTCTCCTTCATCGTCCAGTCACAGGTTTTAAGCATATATTTATTTATGTGATTATTTGATTAATATATTTCTTCTTTACTAGACTAGAAGCTCCAGGAAAGGAACTGTGTCTATTTTGGACAATTATATCCTCATAACCCAGCACAGTATTGGCTCTATTTGTTGAATGAGTGAACGAAAAGTAAATAAGACTTTTCCATAAGCTATGTTTTTAAGAATTTCATTATTTTTTTATTCTGTAGTAACTTTAAATTTTCACTTCTCACTTTATATAGCTGGTCTAGTAAATGACCTTTTTCAAAGCAGGAAAGGCGTGCTTTTATACCAATTAATTATGTGAAAGAGATTCATCCTCTAATGTAAATAATGCTTCTCCATTTCTTTTTTTTAACAGGACCAATGCCAAAGGTGCTCCCCTGAATATAAATAAGGTCTCTAATAGCCTGATTAATTTTGGAAGAAAGTTGATTTCCCCAGCAATGGCTCCAGGCAGTGCAGGTGGCCCTGTACCTGGAGGCAACAGCAGTAGCTCCTCCTCTGCTGTGATTCCTACCAGGACCTCAGCAGAGGCCCCAAAGCATGCCTTGCAACAGCAACAGCAGCAGCAGAGGCTGATGAAATCAGAAAGCATGCCTGTGCAATTGAACAAAGGTAGGAAAAAAATACTAGTAAATCCAAGGAAACATTCACAGTGTAGCCTGGGATTTCTTCACTTGTCTGTTAGAAAAGAAATTAATGCAAAACTTATTTTTTAAATATGTTACATATGATTCTTTTAAAGTTGGAATATTAGATACTGTGTTGGTCTTAACATTTTATGAGGTAATTTTTTTTTTAACATTTATATCCTAGTATATTTGCAATTTTGTTCTGTAAATGCCCATACAGTATGATGGCGTGAATTAACACAACACAGAAGTTGAGGACAGTTGACTGTATTCTCTGCTAACTTTGTATAGTAATGCTTCTGACTGGAAGAGAATCCAAAATGAGAAGTTCCAGTACCATGGGCTTCACTAGTCAACAGCGTTCACCGGTGCATTGCAGTTGTTTGGAGGAAGTGGGCCATTAGGCTTGCAGTCTCTCACCCAGCTGCTTCACTTCTAAGGAATACCATCCAGAATCTTAAGCAGGGGGGAGGGCGAAACTAAACAAAATTTCAAGCAGCCAAAATAAGTATATGAGTCTGTAAACTAAAAGTTAGAACCACAGAATGTTAGAGCAGAGGACACCTGGGAGATCGTCCAGTCCGTATCTCACCGGATGGGTGAGGGCACTGCTGTCGGTAGCACATTTGCTGCTGGTACACAGGTGAGCTCATCTCTGTGTCAGGGCCATTCCAGAGCTTCACTTCCCCCATGTATTTTATTCATCAGAGAGCACTTCAGGTATTTTTGAAGAGTCATAATGTATTGGGTCCCCCTTTTCATAACAAATTTGAAACAGCTACATTTATTTTTAGTAGTAGGACTCTGCTAACTATACTCTAAAAGCAAGAAGTTGTAAATGATGGCAAAAAGTATTTAAAAAGCAATCCTAAGACCTCACAAGCAGTCTGGGGCCACTTAGTGTCAGAGCAAACATCCTGACCCAAGTATCATTCATGTCTTAAAGGGATCCCTCTGTTATATCAGTGTTCACTAATTAGTGTTGACAATAACATGAGTAATATTGTCAGAAGACTTTATGTTCCATGTACTCTGTTTAAGGAGATTACATTCTAAATTTGTTTCTAATTTTACATACTGGCATTTAAATTGGTTAACTTATGTTAAATGGACTTGCTTCCCCAATGATATAAATATTGAGTAGTATTCAATAATAAGTGTGTGTGCATACATGCACACACACTTGCGTGTCCGTATTCCTCTGTTGGTCACGTCATGTTATCCTTCTACTCTCTTTTTATTTGCCTACGTAACATATTAGATTTTATATAATCAGTATTTAAATTTTTATGAGAATATTCAATTTACCCTGCATAAGAATATCTCATTGAAAATTAAAGTCTTTTCTTTTTAACATAGAGTTGTCACACATGATTTTTTTAAAAAGAGAACAAATCATTAGCATGCTGTAAATGTATTTTAATGCCAGGAGATACACCCATTTCCAGAATGGAAATGAATGTTATTTTACATATTTCTTAATTGTACTGTTTTATTGTTCTAAATAAATATGATTTCAATGTTGCTTTGATAACAAGCCATAGTCAGTAGTAATTCTAACTGATGGCAGGCAAATGAGTCAGAGAATCTCTTAATGTTGTAGCTTAAATTTTCTGAGGAACTAAGCCAAATGACTAGAAATATAAAGTTGTGTCTCCAAGGAAATGTCAAGTATTCATATCACACAGTTAGTGAGAAAGGAAGTACATGGAGATGGAACAATTGATGAAAACCAAGTCCCCAGTTATAAGGAGACAACAGAGCACTTAAGAAAGTATTTGGAACATGATCATCACTAGGGCATTTTAACTGATCCCTGTGCTGAAAGAAGTAGCCTTGTTTGGCAACCCTTCTGTATTTTTACTTCTGGTTTGTTGTTCTCATGTCAATCTACCAAAAAAAAAAAAAAAAACCAAAAACTTTTCTAATTAACTTCAGATTAATCATAAATGTTCCTGCTAATGCCCCTTCCCACATAAAGGTTTGAATAAAGCAAAAGGCAAAGAGAACAGTTTATAGAAGTAGAAGATAGAAGATAATGTAGCTTGCTGCTCTTCCTCTATTCATCCAGTGATGAACCCTAAGCAACACCCTGAAGCTCTGACCCTATTGTTTCCTCACACTGAAATAAGAGATTTGGGCTGATCCCTGGAGTCTCCCAACTCTAAAAATGTGTGGTTGTTTTGGTAGAATATGTATTAATTAACACTACAGTGAAAAATACTTCTCCAATGTTGGTTCTTTATGCTGTATTTCCCACATGTATTCTGCTGTGCTGTCAAAATGACAAAGCTGCAAGCGTATCACCTGGTCCCATAGATCAGTGAACATAGTGTTTAGCCTGTCAGGAAGCTTGTGTTGCAAAGTGATTTCTGTCTCAGAACAGAGTCATCTACTTAGTACCTTTGAGGAAAGATAATGTAATAGCTTTTTAGCATACTCTGCTGGAAAATTTGAAAGTTGTATTGAAAAATGGTTGTTTATAAAGATGAAACTGTTTATGGTTTTCGTAATCAGTTAACTTTCAATTATTTGTGCTAATATAAGGGGACACTTGTGTTTGCAACCCAAACTCACATGTGTTGCTTGAAGTATATCATGTAGTTTGTGTATGTGTTGAGGTAGGATAGTGAAGGAGCAGCACAGATGTTCCCTATAATTTTTTTGGTGATATTTATATTAAAATGAATCATCATTCTCTAAATATACATTAATAGGCGATCTAGAAGCAACAGAGTAAAACAGGTAGCAGGCATAGAATTGAAAATCTCCTTCAAATATACAGAAAGTAGGCACACATTTATTAATGAATTTAGAGTTTACATATTAAAATCTGGGGTCTATTTCCACTAAAAGCTGTTTATCACTTGTTTGTGGTATGTCCCTGTTTATACATTTTATTTCAATTATAGGAAACCAAATGTGTGTACTGTTAATTGATGATGATGGTATAATTACAAATTAACAATTTCCAGGTTAGCTGGGCTGTAAGTCAGTGGTCAGAACACTGAGGATTTGTCATCTAACTCAAAAATTGATTTTTTTTTTACTACCATATATATTATATAAAAGCTAAAGGGGAAACAAGTCTATTAATCATAAATGATCATACATAGAAAATATGATGCTTTTTTTAAATGCTTTTTTCTTTAGCTTGTTAGTCTGAAAATAGCATAGGCCTTCAGATGGTGATATATCCAGAGGATGATTCTGATGACAGAAACTATGCTTAGTGTTGAACTTTGTCATCCAGGAAGGAAATCAAAGAACCAAAACATCTTCCTTCCAAATGTCAGTGCAACTCAGGTTCTTCTGAGATTTCCTGTTATGCTCCTTTTCCTTTCTTATGTTCTTAAAATGCACTTGGTTTTTTTTTTTTTTTCTGTTTCCTTTGTCTATATTTTAAATTGCTTTTTGAATTTGAACATGTCATTATTTTAAGCACTTACTATAAGTCCAATTTGTAAATGAAATCTTGCCTGTAATAAGTATATCAAGTTAAGGGTATGCGGTTCACAGATTTATTTTTGCATGTTGACATTTATAAGTACATGTGGTAACTTAAGAAATCTTTTCATTACTTAATATGAAATTAGAACTTATTTAGGTCCTTATCTTATCACTGAAGAAGTTGGTTTCAAGTTTAGTTAAAAATAAATTTTGTCTGATATAGGAGGAAATCAATTTCAAAAGAATGCCTATTTTTAAATAAATGACATATAACTTACTTTTAGATGAAAGAAAAAATATAAAATCACACCAGTATTTGTAGCATCATGAAATATGCTCAGCAAAATCTTTTGATTCTTATACTCTAGACTAGTTGAAGTTTATTTGTGATTTCTTTAAGAAAAACAAACATAAAACACTTTTAGGAAACATGCTTTAAAGATTATTTTCTTTAAAAATATTTTATATTAATTTTTCTAAGCTTGTGCATTATTTTTGTTTGTACTATCTTTTTAGTAATTTGATTAAAGTATTAGAACATTCAGTATAAAAGAAAAGTGAAGTTGATTATTTCCTTTTCATGAAATCTAATTATTTTTTCTTATGAAATCCAGGCGATGTAGTTACAGGAAGCGATGCTCAGGTTTCTGTTCCTGTCCAGACTCTAACTGACCTCCAAGGTACAGTTACCATAACAACATAGTTTTTCTTTATCTTTGCCTACAGTATTATTATTGCCTACTCCAAAATTCCATTTTTCTTTTTGCCCACCCTCCATTCATACTGTTTTCAATTCACTACCATTGTTCAGCCACTGAGTGGCACTATTGTTTAGAACAAAAGTCCCTTTTCATGTCATACCTTGGTGATGCCGAATATGGCTGTGATGTGGGTTTTCTATTAGGTTTGCACAAGCCTCTTTGCAATCTATGATTCACCCTATATTTTGTGGTTATTTTAACACACTATACTTAGTGTGCCAGCTAACACTGAGGTGTCCTTTTTGTTACACTGGTGCTCTGTGACAGTATTTGACCAATTAGTTCTGAAATTAGACATCTTATGTGCTATAATTAGCCAGAAATACTTATGTTCTACCTGAAAAATTACAACCTGATTTTGAAATGTTTTTAAGTATAGCCTTTGAATTATGAATTATATTAACACAAAGTACATTGTAGCAAATCTTCATATATGGTAATTGGCAATGGTTTTTAAAAAAGAATGTTTATCATATCCATTTGTTCAAAATGTAGAAAAAAATGTAGTTTTTAAATAAATACAAAAGTTATCCACCTCCTGTGCAATTTTAAAACATATAAATATTTAAAGTGGCTGCATTCATCTTTTATTATGCAGTCTTTTAGATGAAATATGCCATAGAGAGGATTCCTGTGTTAAATGGAAGCCTAGAGTAACTTTAAGAATCTTCTACTCCAATTCAGACTAAAATGATAGCAGTATTAATTAAAATCCACATCATATTTCTCTTAATTTAAAATATCCACATAATATAGTCATGCTAGGAATATTAAAATACTGTTTTAATAATGATACGGCCTCATATTATCCAAACTTTTTTATAGAGAACAGAAAAGAATGGGTTGTGATTAAGAGATTGATGTATTGGGTTAACTTAAAAAACAAAAAACCACCACATTGTGGCAATAGAGGAGTAAGCTTTCATTTCTATATATAGTTCTGTGTCTCACAGGTATAGTTTCTGGCAGTATTCTGGTAATTGAAACAGATGAACTTTAAGAGCTTTTCTAGCTCAAGGATTCCATGAAGAGCTGTTCACTCTTGCTGTCTGTTAAATGATCTACATAATAAAGGAGTATAAAAGCATGGACAAGAGGAAAGGCAGATTATGTCTACAGGATTTATCTTTAGCTTTGCACTTAGATGAATATTAATGTGATCATCTTATATGGCGAGAATTTACAAGACTTAAATTTGTTTCCTAAAATTAAATTCTGAGCCCCACAGACAGCTTTTTAACATGTGTTTTGGTGTCCCAATGTTAATTGCTACAGAGTAGATCTCTGGCTTCTTTGCAAGACATGGGATATGGAGCCCAACTTATACCTATGGAAAGAAAAGCTGAGGGTTGGCTTGCTTAGATATTCTGACTTCTGCTTCTATGCTATTGCTGAATCCATTTTTTTCCTATAGACCAGAGACACAGGAGCAATGTAACTGTTTAAATAGAACTTCGAAGAGGGAAGTTATGTTGTTTTGTCCAAATACCTTGTGTTTTATGAGTAGAATTATCTCATTCATTTATTCAACAGGTATTTATTGAGTGCCTGCTGTGTGTCAAGCTCTGTTTTCATTGGTCCCTTGGCTTTCCCTACAGCTTTATCTGGTTGTTTGGGCATGACCTTTACTTTAGATGACCCAGTTAAGCCTACATAGTCGAGAACCAGCTCTTTTACTAGATACCCTATTCAGAATCGAATCTGCCTCCCATACTCTAACAGAGATTATATCAGTCTGATAAGGAAAGTTCCTGCTACATTAATAGATGTGAATCACAAACAGCTTTTAGTCTGTGGTGATGATTTTGACAATGATAAGCAATGAGAGTACACCTACCTGATTTGGGGAAGTCACTTTTTGTCTTCCTCAACATACTTCCTGAAGAGTGCCAAGAAGCAAGGGAAAGTAGAAGTAAACCAAAATAGTGGTAGCAGCAAAAAAAAAAAAAAGTTCTATGTATGCTTAATATAATCAGTGTCAGGGAAGTAAACTGTTTAGACTTTCCCAAGTGTCTTTTTCAAAGCAATGAAGTCAATTTCAAAAATTAAAGTAAGTATCAATACTTTTGATGATTCTTTGATTATAGTCTTTTTTTATGAGATTTTATGTTTGTCTCTTTCACTTTTAACACAGCAGTTACATGGGCTTTTATTTTTGAGAAACAACCTGAATGTAAAGTGAGATCCCACAATTTAGATAATAAGTAATTTTTAGAGAATTATTCAAAAGTTGCATTTTATATCTTATAGTGCAGGCTGCAATCACACACACAAAAAAAAGCCACAGCAGACTTTGTTTTTCAACGACTTCACTCAGTAAGGTTCTTCAAAATTAGTTTTAGAAATTACATGTTTACCCCCAGAAACCTTTGTCAAGAGATATTTAGGAATTTATTCACAAATCAAAAAGCTTTAAACACTGGTACACACACAAGACACATGGTATTTTTTAAGAGAATCCAGAATTTATAACAACAGAAGTACAGTCAGCCCTCTGTATTCATGGGCTTCACATCTCTGGATTCAACCAACTACAGGTCAAAAATATTTAGAAAAAAAAAAAATGAGTCTCTACTGAACATGTACAGACATTTTCTTATAATTCCCTAGACAGTATAGTATAACCACCATTTACATAGCATTTACATTGTATTAGGTATTATACATAATCCAGAGATGACATAAAGTATAAGGGAGGATATGCATAGATTATTTGAAAATACTACTGCCATTTTATATAAGAGACTATAGCATCCTCAGATTTTGGTATGCACAGCAGTCCTGAAACCAATCTCCCATGGAGGATGACTAGATTTAGGTATTAACATACAATAGACCATTAGGAAAGAAATTCAGATTTCTTAAATAATTTCCATAGGCATCTTTAAAATTTATATTTGTATATATTTATTTGTGTTATGGATGTAAATATGCACACACATACACACAAATATCTTTATAACATCAAATTGTTTTAAATATAAACAGGTAAAAAAAAAAAAACCTTCCTTTCCAGGTAACCACTGTTGATATTCTTAAGATAAAACTAAAATATATTACATTAGATGATTCCAATTAATTAAAAGTACCTGAAAAAGGGGAGGTGCCCTCCATTTTCTCCTCCCACCGTTTTGCCAGCCCATTTCCCCAAGGGTAAACCATTGGTAAGTTTCTTGTGATACCTTCCAGGAGAAAATAAATACATATTAAATGGAGGCATAATGTGGGAGTCACATTAATATGGTAAGAGCTCACTTATTTAGAGGTAACTCTCTCTGGAGCATCAAGGAGAAAGCACCAACAAAAATGTCCCAGTGTCGATGAAAAGCAGCAAGTTGGTAGAACAAGGAGAGGGATACTAGGTCAACCAGAGTAAGACAGTAATGACAAGAAAAACAGACAGCTTCCACTCACAAGAGTGAGGGAAAAAAACATCAAAAAAATGGTCCTCATAGTTGGCACTATATTGATTGGCTGCTCTGGTTATTGTTAAGATGTGATAGACCTGAAGCACAACAAGTAGTTCCATTATGTTCAGTATAGTCACTTTAAGGCAGAGAAATATATGTAAAATGAAATTGGGGAAGCATTGGTTAGCTAGAAAATGCATTTTTGTGGAACATCTATTCCAAAAGACATTGAATAAATGAGTTGTTTTTGGACTGAAAACAAGATCAGAATTTGCCCTTTACTTTGAAAAGGCCTCATTCCATTTTGCTTTAATCTAATTTTAGGTCACATTTACATCAGCCCACTTGGCACAACCCTTATGAGAGGGGGAGGGCAATACAGCTTTGCCTAGCATGGCTCCCGAGTCAAGCCTGCGTTTGAATTCAGGCTCCATCACTGCCTTGCTGGATGACCTGGGGAAGTTACTTAACCTCTTACTTGTAAAGAGAGAATAAGAGCAGCTACTTCAAGGGTTGTTGCTGGACATCATCACAGCACCTGTTGCATAGTGAGGGCACTAGAGTGCTACCTGCTCAGGTAGTGGTGATGATAGCACCGTTATACCTCTCTTTCAGAATCAAATAATGAAGGAGCTCATTCCATACACCTCTTTCCTTATTACTTCTGATATTCTAAAAGCACATGTCTGCATGCAAGTACCCAATCCAAGAGTGTTTGACTTTTGTGGTTAGGCTAGAGAATGTCTATTGCAGGGGCTTCAAGTACAACCTTCTTCCGCTCACTTTTGTGGCAGCAAGATGCATGTCTTTAATTAGTAGACAGTTGCCTTCTTGCTGTCTTATCACTCAAGTGTGCCCGGAAACAAACTGTTACTATATAGGGCCCAGATGACTCTTTGTCTTGGTCACTATATAAAGTCAAGGTTATCCCCTTTCTGTGGCCACAGCACAGGGGTTTCCAGGCTTTTCCCTTCCTGCTCTTCTAAGCTATAACTTTCCAGCAAGGCCCCCTGGAGACCTCCTGGCCTCCTGAACATTTTGCCTTTGGGTGTCCAGTGTCCACCTTCCTCCGCTGGCCTCAGGTATACTAGGGTTCTGCCTGTCTATTTAGAAACACACCCACGCCCTTTTCTTATTCCCATTGAGTTTACTAAGAGAAAATCCACTAAAATATTATTATGGGACATGGTAGGAGCTTAATAAGCATTATTTTTCCTTCCTCTTTCCTTCTCTCCCAGCCATTTTGGGAGTCAAGAATCCCCACTGATGCCTAAGAAATCCATTCAGTCATTTTAGGCTCTTGACAAGTTATCTCCGTTGCCACAGAACACACAGGGCATAATACTTTGAGTGTTCCAGAGAGGGAAAGAGAATGAAGGAAGGACATAAGATAGCTAGACATAGCTGTGTCTTATCCAAACAGTAACTCTGTACAACTTACAAAAAAAAAAAGATAACTGCTTCTGTGCAGATGTAGCTCACACCACTCACACCAGGGCACAAGACTTA